ATGTACCGCGTGTAAGGGTAATGATGATTCATATTCAGACTCTGAATTTGTCTTACAAATGAAGAAAGTACAAAAGACAAATAATAGAAGGATGTCACGTGTTCATCTAAATGATACACCAGTAAGGATCCAACTTGACACTACAGATGTATCAGTTATATCAGAGAAAATTGCTCATAAAATCCCAGGTATCCAAATTGATAGATAAGATGATATCAAGTTAACAGATTATAATGGGAAGAGAATTCAAGTAGGAAGATCTGCTAAAGTGACAGAGAAATATGAGGAGCAAGTTATTGAAGATCTAGTTGTGACAGCTGTAAAAAAATAACGGTCAGCCAATATTTGGTCTTAATTGGTTAGACCGAATTCGTTTAAACTGGGAAAAGATGTACCAGATTTCCAATACCAAGGCAAAGAGAACCACTCAGGAGGTTCTGAGCCAGTTTAACAGCATATTCAGAGAAGAAATATGTACAGTGAAAAATGCTAAGGCTACACTGATTTTAAAACCTGATGCGAAACCAAAATTCTTTGCTCCTAGACAGATACCCTATTCTCTGAGAGCAGCAGTGGATCAGATCAGGAGGCCAGAAGCAGAAGGGTTATGGGAAAAAGTAACATTCAGATTGGGGGACACCATTGGTACCCGAAGCCAAGAAAGGTAGGAGAGTTAGACTATGTGGGGATTACAAAGTTACAGTAAATCCAAACCTGCATGTAGCTCAGCATCCTCTGTTCAATATCCAAGATATGTTAGCTGCATTAGGTCAGTGCAGCATATTTTCCAAAATTGATTTGAAAACTGCATTGCAACAACTAGAGACGGATGAAAAGTCACAAGAATATTGCGTACTGAATACTCCACTTGGGTTATATAAGCCAAAAAGACTGCTTTATGGTATTGCATCTTGTCCTGTAATTTGGCAACAAATTATGGATAAGATCTTTAATGCACTTCCGGGTGTATTCTGTTTTGTAGACGATATCTTGGTAACTGAAAAACATAAAAAGAAGCTCCAAAACAGATTAATAGCAGTACTAAACCGGATAAAGGAAAACAGATGATGATTCATAAAAATAAATGTATAAATGTCTCTTCCAAGTTTATTCATTGGAATATCTAGGGGTTAGACTAAATTAAGATGGAATCCATAAGACCAATGATAAAGTAAGAGCAGTCAAGGAAGTAAAAGTCCCAAGTAACGTAAAGGAGTTACAGTCATTTATGGGTCTAGTAACATTTTATGGTAAATTTGTTGAGGATTTGGCTACGATAGCAAACCCATTGTATCGACGGACAGCTAATGTTGTGTATATAATTGGTTAGGAAATGGAATACTCATGGAATGATAGTTGTGCACAAACCCAACAGTAACACACACACACACACACACACACACACACACACACACACACACACACACACACACACACACACACACACACACACACACACATATATATATAAGCCCCTATTATGGTGCTCCAAAAGTCGATTACATAAAATATTGATTAAAAAAAAATCTTGGTCAAAAAGGGGGGGGGGGATTTTTTCAGAAAAGTTGAAATTTCTATTTATGCCAAGAGACAACCAAAGCAGTGGTAAGATAAGCAGCTTGTGACATTGTTACGTGCTGGCAATTTCCGCAAGACTTCTGAATGCTGGCAGATGATATGGGATTATGTTGTGTGAAGTTATTCTTCCATCTAACTTTTTCTGTGCTTCTTGTAAAAGTGATGTATATATATATATATATATATATATATATATATATATATATATATATATATATATATATATATATATATATATATATATGTATATATATATGTATATATATATGTATATATATATATATATATATATATATATATATATATATATATATATATATATATATATATACACACACACACACACACACACACAACTTATTCTTTTAACACACACCTACTAGTCGTCAAGGTAAAATGTTACCCCCAAAAAAACAAAGTCGAAATAAATAAAAAAATATTCCCCATATTTAGGATGAATCAGTTCATTAAAAGAATCAGAATGCCTCTGTAATTTCTTTTCTTTTTCTCTATCACCTTGGTAAAAAAAAAAAAAAAAAAATACAGACCAGGGTCTAGATAAAAGGGCGTGATTTTCATCAAAATTGGAAAGAGAAATCGAATAAAAGCAGATGATCCCTTAAAGGAAGTGAGAAAGGATTGCTTGCTAAGCGTTTTGCGTTTTATAGGCAACAACTATGATCCGAAAAATGAAGAGAGCAGCAGCAGTGAGAAACGAGGATCTAGAAAGTATACAGACTGGTGCAGAACGTTTGAAAATACACGAAGAAAATGTACATTTCAAATAATTTTAGGATTATTTGCGCAGGGACACAACCATTTAGAGAGACAAGAAAATTAAAGATCCCAAGGAAAAGGTGGAAGACATATAAACCAATATTGGCATCGTTAGTCAAATCAAAGCAAGGTATCTACAAGAAAA